CCACCCAGCTTAACAAGAGCGGGGTCTGGGTCTGAAGCTCTCTTACCACCCCAAATAAGAAAATAAACACTAGGAGGTACAAGAGCCCAGAATATGGCTTCTGCTCCCTTTCTCTTCTCTGCCCGCTAGGGTGGGAGAGAGATGGTCACGGGGCTCTGAGTGAGGCTCAGAACAGGGAAGCAGCTTGCCTGAGAGCAAAGACTACCCATGACAGAGCATGGAACAGGACCAAGAAACCCTCATTCTCACCAGACAACCTAAGCCTTCATTTTTATCTGAAAACATCCTGAAGGAGAAGCCAAAACAAGAAAGGTCCAAGTCGGCAGGGCTAGCCCCAAAGTGGCTGGTTAGTTGGTAGAAGTGCTTTGACACTGCCAATATCTCAGTGTCCTCCACCTCTCTGAGCCACAGTGCCCTGTACCAGGATCTTTGGTCTCATGTTGCTCTGATCCACCCTAAAGCAGAGGTCCCACAGCATTCCAATGACAACAGCACATGCATGCTATTTTCAAAACCACATACTATCTCATTTGACCTCCGCAATAACTGTGCAAAGTAGGAATTGTTTCTGTCCACATTTTAGAGATTTGTGAAAGACTCAGAGGCCCTAAGCGATTTGCCAAAGGTAATCCAACTAGTTAAGTGGTGAAATCAAGACTCCAGTTTATGTCCTTCCCTCATTCACCCACACATGCATAGATGTATTCATTTGTTGAGTTTCTACCCTGTGCCAGGCACTGTGTTATCTAAAGCCAAATTATATGGGGGGGTTTTTTTGAAAGGGGGGGTGGTTTTTTAATTTTTCAATTAGAATTGACATTCAATATTATATTAGTTTCAGGTATACAGCATAGTGGTTAGACATTTATATAACTTATAAAGTGACCCCCCCCCGCCCCATAAGTCTAGTCCCCACCCAGTACTATACATAGTTATCACAATACAATTGACTATATTCCCTATGCTGGACTTTACATCCCTGTGACTATTTTGTAACTGCCAATTCATACTTCTTCATAAAAATATATATTTCTATTGATTTCAGAGAGCAAGGGAGAGGGAGAGAGAGATAGAAACATCAATGATGAGAGAGAATCATTGATCAGTTGCCTCCTACATGCCCCACACTGGGGAACAAGCTCGCCACCAGAGCATATGGTCTGACCGGGAATCAGACCATGACCTGCTGGTCGATGCTCAACCACTGAGCCATGCTGGCTGGCCCCAATTCATACTTCTTAATCCCTTCACCTGTCCCCCAGCCCCCAACCCCTCTCTCATCTGGGACCATCAGTTTGTGTTCTGTACCTATGTGTTTGTTTCTGTTCTGATAGTTCATTTACTTTGGGGTTTTTTTTAGATTCCATGTATAAGTGAAATCATAAAGTATTTGTCCTCTCTGTCTGACTTATTTCACTTAGCATATACCTTCTAGGTCCACTCATGTTGTTCAGGGCCCTTTCAAGGGACATAGTTAGGGAATGAGTAAGTGTATCTCGTATTATTAATCCAGTCCAACATTTATAGCTCCTTCCTCTATATCAGAGCTCATAACCTTGGGTAAACATTCTAATCAGCTGAGGAGCTTTGAAAAGATACTAATGCCCAGGTCCCTCACAGGTTTGTTTTACCACCTCCAGTCTCCCTCTTGCTCAGCCATGACCAAGTTCCCAGAGAATGCCTCTTTTTCTCTGCATCTGGAGCACCCAGTACGGGATCTGAAACAGAAGAAAGGCTAGTGGTTGACCAGTTCAACCCTGGGCTCCTCGGGCTTGTATCCCCTTTGCTCTCCAGGTGGCATGTGTGTGTGAGAGAATTACAATGCACACAACTCTGCTTCTGGCTTGGAGCCCTTTTCAATCAACAGGAAAGGAAATGTCCTTTCCTTAAAAGCCACAGATAAAATCTTACGGAGCTCTAAAAATGACCTACCCAGTACCTTCATCATCTCCTCTTGTGCCTCAATCCATATCATTCTTAAAACTGGCTGTCCCAGCGCTGACCAGGTCTCTCTCTCCTCTCTTCTCCCACAGCTTAATCACCCGAAAGAACCGTCAGGTGTGTGCCAATCCAGAGAAGAGATGGGTGCGGGAGATTATCAACGCTTTGGAGATGAGCTAGGATGAAAGGCGCCTTAAACCCAGAACTTATGCAACTTTCTTATTGCTTCTCCCCAATCCCCGGCTCCCACCCTCCTGGGAGGCCGATTCTACTACACAGCATAGCAGCAGTTATAAAAGCCTCCCCACCAAAGCCCCCAGGAGCTCCTGGGGCTCTGAACTGTGCACAGAAAATCTCTAGCTTTTGAGCTGCAGGTGCCTCAGCTCAGGCATGGCTCTGCAATCAGGAAGGAAGTCGGCATGCCTCTGGTCAGCATGCCTCTGGAGGCGAAGAAGGGAGACAAACTTGGCTTCGATGGTAATGTCCCATGGCCAGAGCTCCAACCTCAGCCCCTCACTGGGATAGGCTGACCGGCAAAAGTGAGAAATCAGCTTTCTATTAAAATTCCCAAGACAATTTCGAAGCTGGCTCCTGGCATGATTTCTTCCTCAGGGACCCTCTTTCCTCATGAGTATTAAGCATGCAGGAGTGCACACACCTGGTGTCCTCCCTAGATTTGGGGGTGATGGCCTTGCACAGTGAGCAGGGCTGGGAGCATAAACTCTCTGAGAAGGGGCATGGGCAGGACAGTGGCTTATCTACCCTGGGGGGAAACAAGAGTCACTACATCCCCACCCCCAAGTCCCCACAAATTTATTTCACTCCCTGTCACAGCACCTCCATTTCCTCAGACCTTCCCCTTCTACCCTTGTCTACCCTAGTCCTCATCCCCAGTCTTGCTCCTAGAATAGGCTTTAGTGGCAATCCCAACACCTCAGTTCTTTCAAATAGAGGGAGTAAAGAGGTGGGAGTATTCCAACTTCCCCATCGATGTGCCCCTTCATGTGAACATATATTGACAATATATATCTTTGTAATTATAGGGAGCATAGCTGAGTGCTCACTGTGTGCTGGGCATTGCCAGCCCTTTACATTCATCATCCCTCATCCCCACAACCCTTTGGGGGAAGCAGTATTATCAACCATGTTTACAGTTGGGAAAATCCTTGGCAAGAGAAGGAAATAACTTGCCCAAAGCCCCAAAGTAAAAGAAGTAAAATAAAAAAAAGGGGGGGGGCATTTAAACCCATCAGGTCTTATGTCAAAGCCCATGCTTTTTTTTTTTTAACCCTTAATTTGTAAAACTTTAAACCTACAGAAATTTGCAAGAATATACCCATTAACCTTCATCTAGATTTGAATGTTAACATTTTACCATATTTGCTTTATCTATATGCATATGTGTGTGTGTATATATATATATATATATATGTGTATATATAGTTGGTATAATACATTTTTTTTCCAAATTTGAGAGTAAGTTGCAGATGTGATATCACTTCACCCCTAAAAGTTTCAGTACATATTTCACACTCAGGAAACCTAACATTGACACAATACTATTTTCTAAAACACAGGCCATGATCAAAGCCCACAATTGTCCCAATGTCTTTTACAGCTATTTTTTAAATCTAGGATACAATTATGTCCACATACTGAATTTAGCTGCCATGTCTTTTCAGTGTCCTTTACCAGACTTTCTCTGTCTTTAAGAACATAGATATTTCGGGGAAGTTCAGATAAGATTTTTGTAGAATATTTTATTTGAATTTGCCTGATTGTTTCCCCTGAATTAAACTCAGGGTAAACATTTTTGGCCAGAATACCAGAGTGATGCTGTCTTTCTCAGTACAGTACATCAGGGCACACGATGTCAGTTTACTAGTGATGTCAAGTCTGATGGCTTGGTGGCCCCTGTTCTCTTGCTACAGTGAGCTGCCTGCTGTGTGCCAAGCACTGTACTAGGCATTGGGGGTGGGGGTCAGGAGCGGAATAGAGGGGTGAAAGAGCTACCAGCCACAATCTGTACTTTTAGGCAGTTCACAGTCTAGTGAGGAAGATGGAAAGACCCATGAACAGATGAAACATAAGACAAACTCTTAAAGGGAAGCACCACTACAAAAGGTTGTGGTCATATTGTGGGGTAGGGGGGATTACACCTAAATGGGGTGAGGCAGGGTGCCTCAGGGAGAAAAGAGACTTCAGAAATAACATTTAAGTAGAGTTTGAAAGATTTGAAAACTGTTTAACAGGTGGAAAAGAAAATGAAAGGCCTGACAGCTAGAGGAAACAGCATATGCTAAAGTAGGGGTATGAATGGTCTTAGCCCAGAGTTAGTTCAGTCTCTTGCTACCAAGGAAAGAGGTGTGAGTTTAGGAGGGGCTTTCCCATCCCTGCCATTTTCCTGATGACTAATCCTAAGAACCACCCCTGCTCCTAACACGGGTTTATGTGAGCTTGACACTTCACCAAACCCTTAGACTATCTCTTTGAATTTATGCCTCACCATAGCCCCTCTAGTTAGCTAGACAGACATGACTTTCCCGCATTTTAGATGAGGACACTGAAGTTCCTAGAGGTAAAATGACTAGCTCAATCCATAAGCCAGTAGATGCCAGGGCTGGGGCTAAAGAATGGAACTAGAGCCCTGGCCGGGTAGCTCACATGGTTGGAGCATTGTCCCAATGTGCAAGGGTTGCAGGTTCAATCCCCAGTCAGAGGGCACATACCAGAGTCAACCAATGAATGCATAAATACTAGTAAGTGGAACAACAAATCGATGTTTCTCTTTCTCTCTCTCTCTCTCTCTCTCTCTCTCTCTCTCTCTCAAAATCAATCAATACATTTTCCTTTTAAAGAATGGAACTGGAGCATTCTAGTTACCTAGGAGACCTGGTTGCTCAGCACTTGGAAGCTTCCATTTCCAGAAGCCCAGACATCTCACTAGTTCCTCTTGTACAGAAGACAGGTTATCCTGAGCTCTCTCTCCACATCCCCGAAGGCCCTGTATTCTCCACCACCACCACCCTGCCCTCTGGCCCCACCAGGAGAATAAAAAGATGGCCTACGAAAAATCAATCGATATCTTTGAAATCGCCAGGTCAATGTTCAAGTACCCATGGCTGGAATATCCATACAGGACCAAAGGTGAGGCTGGAATGGAGAGGAACAGAATCAGGGGCAAGGGCCTGAAAAGGAAAGCCCCCTGGGTCCCCTTCCTGGCAGGCGTCTGGGTGAGTTCAGCAAATCTATGGGATGGGTCATGGAAAGCCCATGAACACTTGGATGGCTCCCCACAGCCGGCAAGGTAAGTCTCCAGGGTCTTCTAAAGTGGGACATCTTGTTTCCCAGGGTCTGCTCCCACACCTGCACCCTGGCTCTCTATCTAACACTCACACCTGCAAGTCTTTGCATAAGTTGTTCCCGGTGCCTAATGCTCCTCCCCTTATCTATCGCCTACTTGGACTGAAGACTCAGAGCTTGTGCAGAGTCTCTGGGTAAACAAGTACTGAGCCAGGTTAAGGGTCCCTCATCTGTACCACCTGTGCTTTCATCTGTCTTCACATTTGTTTCCCTTTGTTAATCACTAATAACAGTCTGTCTCACTAGCTGATCCAGTGGCCCTCAAAAGTGTGGTCCCAGGACCAGTAGCATCAGCATCTCATTAGAAATGCAAATTCTCAGGCGGAATCAATCCTCTAGGGCAGTGGTCAGCAAACTCATTAGTCAACGGAGCCAAATATCAACAGTACAACGATTGAAATTTCTTTTGAGAGCCAAATTTTTTAAACTTAAACTATATAGGTAGGTACAGTACATTGTTATTAGCTTAATTAGGGTACTCCTAAGGCTTAGGAAGAGCCACCAAGGGGCCATTTGGGGGTCGAACGACCCTTTCACAGGGGTCGCCTAAGACCATCGGAAAACACATATATAATTACATATTGTTTTTGTGATTAATCACTATGCTTTAATTATGTTCAATTTGTAACAATGAAAATACATCCTGCATATCAGATATTTATATTACGATTCATAACAGTAGCAAAATTACAGTTATGAAGTAGCAACGAAAATAATTTCATGGTTGGGGGTCACCACAACATGAGGAACTATATTAAAGGGTCGCGGCATTAGGAAGGTTGAGAACCACTGCTAGGGAATTGCTCTAACAAACTCTCCAGGTGATTCTAATGCACACTCAAGTTTAAAAAACTCTGACCAGGACCAATGGTTTTCACTATTAGCTGCACATTAGAATCCTCTGGGGAGTTTTCTCTAATACCAAGGCCCCTTCCTCAGAGAATCTGTTCTGATTCTATTAGTCTTATGTAGGGCCAAGGCATGTTAAAAGTCCCCTCAGATAATTCCAATTCACAGCCACAGTTGAGAACCACTCTGCTGGACCAGAGCTTCTCAAACATGAAAGTACATACAAATCTTGTTGAAATAAAGATCCTGATTTGCGAAGCCTGGGGTGGAGCCTGAGAGTCTGCATTTCTGAGAAACCTCCAGGCTATGGCAATCCTGCTGTTCCACAGACCACATTTTGAGCAGCAAGGTATCAGGAAACCATAAGCCCCTTGAGGACAGGAATAACACCTTATTTACCTCCCTGGTGCCTAGTACTCCTGTTCACTAAATGCTGAATAAATGAATGCCTGAATGGATGATTCCTTAACCCGCCTTTGTGACTGCTGTCTCATTTCTACCACAGAACTCAAAAAGGCCTCGGTACCTGTTTACCTCCCCTTGTCCTGCCACCAGGTAAGACCCCTAACTTTTGCCACCTTGGGAGATTTGTTGAATAGGAGGGGCAGCAAACTGTCCCTTCCCATTAAGGTCAGTTCACAGAACCCCAACACTCACCCTTGGGCATGTTAAAAGTTCCCTTGAATAATTCCAATAAGCAGCCAAGGTTGAGAACTTCCTCTGGTCCCATCTCTGAGCTGGGCTGAGAACTGAGGGCAGAGGAGAATTTGTCACTAATTTTTGGACAAGTCACTTTCCTTCCATAAGCCTCAGAAGCCTCCTCTGTCACAGGCCAACCCTTGTCCAGAACCCTTCGTGGAACTGTTGTGAGGTACCATCATCAAGGCCTAGGCAATGCAATCAGTGCTGGATGATGAGTCATTTTTATTAATTAATACAGAGATTCTCATAAAACACAGAGCACCCAATTAAATTTGAATTTCATATAAACAATGAAATATATATATGTATGTATGTGTGTGTGTGTGTCCTATATAATAAAAGCCTAATATGCTAAGTGCCTGGCCAACCAGTCAGCCGTTCAACCAATCAAAGCATAATATGCTAATGAACGCTAAGGCCATCAACTGCTTGCTATGACATGCACTGACCACCAGTGGGCAGTCAACTGGTCGCTATGATGTGCACTGACCACCAGGGGGGGATGCTCTGACCAGTAGGTTAGCTTGCTGCTGGGGTCCGGCCAATTGGGACTGAGTGAGATGGGCCGGACACGCCCTGGAGCCCTCCTGCAGTCCCTCCCCCGCTGACCAACCTCCCACATCCCTCCCCGGCCCCGATTGTGCACTGGTGGGGTTCCTCTGCCTGACCTGTGCCCTCTCGCAGCCACATCTGAGGGACCCACCCACCCCCAGTGCAAGAATTTCATGCACCAGGCCTCTAGTGCATGCCTGCGCGCGCGCATGTGCGCACACACATATAGCATTCATTACCTGAAATCCAAGTTTAACATCCTGTTATTTGCTTGCTGTTTACTAAATCTGCAACTGCTCTGCCATCCACCTTGTTTTCCCAGACACCAAAGGAAGAGTTCCCCCCAAGTCCAGAGTGCTGGAGGCAGCACCCAGCCAAGCCAAACTCAGCACCATACTGCTACTTTGACACGCCTGAGATGTACACGCACTGGCACATCCTGTATGATCATCAACAGAAACGGGAGGCCCAGAAGACGTTGCAGAAAATGAGCGCTCAACTTAAGTGTGATTTACTGTTATTCTCCATACCTTCTGCACCTTCTAGGAAAGAGAAGGAAAGGGTGTGGTGGGGCAGGGAGTGGAGCAAGTCAACCTATAGATTCCAGAGAAGACCTCAGGATAGAAGGAGGCTCATCTGTCTTCCGCTGGTCCCATCTCTAAGCTGGGCTGAGAACGGGGGGCAGAGGAGAATTTGTGAAGGGGGGAGGAAGGGAACAAGGGGACCAAGGCTGCATGTGCAATCTCTCACACAGATACCACTTCAAAGAGGGCACTGACATCCAAAAAGTCCATCTCCCCATGATCAAGTTGACTACAAAATATCAAAAAGAACCCAAGACTTTACACCCTACTGAGGACTCCTTGAAGTGGCAAAGATTAAAGGTCAGGGACCATGGTGGGAGGGAGGATAGAGAGACTCCCTTCCTGTGAATGCCCTTACCTTGGGCTCTCACCATCCTTCAGCCCTCAATCCCATAATGGAGGACAGCGAGGAAAAGGGATTGGATTGGATGAGCTCCTTTCAGTTTGAAGTTTTACAACTATATTTATTCCTTTCCTCCTCTCCACTGGCTCCTTTGGAAGGGCAGGAACTCACAAAAAGCCTGAAATCTCCCAGAGAAGATGAGCAGTTCTATGCAACACAGGTGAGAAGTTGCAAGGGTGGAGGTAGGAGTTGGCTGAGTTGAAGAGGAGAAAGATGCTTGAGGTGGGGGTTGGGTGGTGTTCCAAGAACCAAATCCAGCTGTGTACAGAGAATGGTAACTCCTGGGGTGGTATCCAAGGTCTCTTCCCTTCCCTCTACCCTTCTTCCTGCAGGCTCTGGGGTGCCTGGGCATCAGTGATGAGTCTGTCATAGAGGCACTACTGCAGGTGGTAAGTCTGGGGCTGCACCAAGTTCAGGAGAGGAGGGAGCAGGGCATAAGGTGTATAGAACATGGGCACAGACAAGGCTCACAAGGATGGTGGGTTAGATCCAGCGAAGAGAGCCACCAGGGTGCAGCATATGCCAGCTCATGCCCTTTAAAGGACAGCTTGATCTAAAAGGATGGGGGAGGTGGAATTTGAAGAGCCCTTTTTGCGGGGAGCCGGTCCATCCTTGCTGCTTGACACAGTCGCTGCAGAGAAGAAACATCTGCACAGCATATGTTTCAAGGGACCTGGCGTATATGGCATACTGTTCTTAATATGTATGCTCACCTTCTTGG